CCAGAAATGAGGCTCCCGCCTAGAGTAAGGTCCACACCAGGAATACTGAGCCCAACCCATCTTCTCACATGTCTACTCTATCATTAGAGTCTTGTCAGTAGCAGATGCTTCAGTTTTTACTAACTAAAAAAGCACCACATAAAAGAATTAAATTGCCCTTCCTGTACTTCTATGGTGTTTTTCACCGAGTGTAAAAAAAAAAAAGATAAAACTTAAAAAATTTTTCAAGTTTACTTATTTTGAGAGAGAAAGAAAGCATGAGGCAGAGAGACAGAGGAAGAGAGAGAATCCCAAGCAAGCTCTGCACTGTCAGTGCGGAACCCGATGCAGGGTTTGAACCCACAAACCGTGAGATCATGACCTGAGCCGAAGTTGGATGCTTAACCTGATGAGCCACTCAGGCGCCTCAAAGTATAAAAATTTAAAATGACAAAAGTAAAAGAAACAAATGTATAACAGTTATGATTCTCCTAGAATATTAGAACATGCCTCCTTAGTCTCCTAAGAAGTCTTTTCACAGTTCAAGCACGTCCAGAAAAAGCCTATTGGTTATGCCAGCATCCTCGACATAGCACTTGCTACTTGCCCCACTTCTGACCTCAGTGGGGACCAGGGATCGCCCCTGCCTTGGGGTTAGTCTTCCGGGGAGGGAAGGGTGAGCTGTGATCATGTGACCAGGCAGGCCACTAGAGGTCCTGCCCTCCAAGGTTCTGTGTGTGTAGCTTCTTAAGGAGTAAGGACCAGTGTAGCTCTGCTCACCATCTATATCTTGGGCAAAGACATCAGGAACCCTATATACAAGATCCAATTAGGAACCGCACTGCATTCATTTATAAAATGAATTGGTTAATTTTTCTCCCTTGCTTTGCACTGCAGGAAAATCTTGAGGCATATCTCAGGGCACTAAACAACTCCAGGAGATGGCCAGGATAAAAAGCAGGAAAAATTACCCCAGATGAGTCAAAATTTGCCCTGTTAAGTACAAGGTATTATTATCAGAGAAGCCTGGGATCAGATTCTGAGCTTGGGTGAGCCCTTGGACTTCCGCAAGTCTTGTTTGCTTAAGAGCACGTCTAAACTTTGCTGGTTTTTAATAACAATGTACGCTAAGGGGGCAGCTAAGAGATGTGGAAA